TTTTTAGCAAGGAGACATTCCCGGATGCTTTTGGTGAGCCATGGAGGCTTGTGTGCTCTCCTGCTCCCTTTGATCCTCGTTGGGATTACCTTCCTTTGGGCTTGGAGGATCATCTCCCTAAGGAGCAACCACTCTCCTTGGACACCTGGCTCCCCTCCCCTCTGGGACCTCAGAGCTTCTCCAACTATCCTCCTTAGCTCGCTGAAGTTTGCCCTCCTAAAATCTAGGGCCGCTGCCTTACTGCATGCCTTAGCCACCTTGCGCTGGATGGTGAATTCCAGCAGGCGATGATCGCTGTCGCCCAGGTGGTCGAGCACCCGCAGCCCCCTCACCAGGTCATCACCCGTGGCCAGCACTAGGTCCAACAAGGCATCTCCCCTGGTGGAGCTGTGCACCTCCTGGGTTAGATGGAGGTCCTGCACACTGCCTAAGAACCTACGTGAGCGTGAGTGTAATTTGACCCTATTTCTTCTCCCCCCCCCAACTTCCCTCTATTGGCTTCTCCCTCTCTCGGTCTTTCTGATTCCTGTTATCTATCTCTTCCATAAGTTACCATCTTAAGAGACCCTGTTTGAACTGAAAAGAACTTCCTTGTGCAAAATCAATATAATCAGCTAGAAAATACGATTGCTCACTTTCAAGTGAACAAGAACCAAGAAGCAGCCAGAATTTAAAAAGCTAGTGTTGAAAATGTAAACTCATGTGTTCAGGGACCTGCAGAACGTTAACGAATATTATGATACATTTTCTCAGCTACAAGCTGTATACGGTGTTAATGCCAATATTATAATGCTGACAACTTGTTCTTGACTGAATTATGAAGCTGTTAATTTATGAAGGGAGGATGCAGTGCTTGTGTCAATGTCTTATGTTGCTAACTGCAGCAAATTAGTATATTTACAGGATATTATACAGCTAAGACATTTGTCTGGCAGGAATTCAAGATATTAAAATGAAGATTAGTACATTGTCATTTGTCTTTAGTCTTTTTTTTTTCTACAGCAGATGACACCTGGAAGGGAGGAAGGAACCTGGTCTGTTCCTGCAGATTCACTCCAGCTATCAGTGCAATATTTCCTTTGGTGTAACACAGGGGTGTCAACTGGGGATACACGTACCCCTGGGGCTCCTTGAGAAGGCATTAGGGGGTACACACGGGCAGGTGGGGATGGAGCACTGCCACGTACTATCCCACGCTGCTGTGCAAGCACTGTTTGCCCAGCCAGATGTGGGGGGCAAAAGAAGCTTGCACGCAGCAGCTGCCGCTGCTTCACCTTTGGCTGT